AGCTTGGTCTATGAGTCTATTTTTTATTGTACAGTCCCATGACTGCAGAGTGTTCTTTCACGTAGTGTAACACACACAGAAGTTGTAGCAAAGCAATGAACTTAGCCAATGTTTCCTAAGTGCTAGGCTAGAATTCTAAACATGGGACAATTGCTTTTCCTATGGGATTAATCTCATCAGATCTACTCTTTTTGACAAATGCCTCCCTCTCCATCTTGCTTGTCACCTTGGACACTTCGGCGTATCATGTGTGCCTTTCCCAAATAGCTTTGCTTTCTGCTATTAACGATTTTCAAAATCTGTTCAGTCTTGACATCAGGCTACTTGCTTCCCAGACTCTGTTGTAAACTAAATACATTCCTTTAATAGCAAAGTCTTCATCATCAAGACGCTTTCTTCTTAGAGAAATGAAGAGAGGCAGCTATGCTTTTCCTACGCTAACTTCTATGAAGCATAAAGACTGTTTGATTTACACATTCCAGTATATGAAGGAGGAAATCGAGCCCAGATTAAAGTTTTTACATACTTTCTGACCTGGAGTCAACGAAGGGGAATTTGGGACCAGATCTTGCAAGATCCTGCATAAATATGTGTTATGCATTTCCACATGTATTAAAGTGGACAAACAATATGAAACAGTCAAGCGGCAAAATAAGAAATTCATTTTTTAAGGCAGTTGCCTACTCCCGTATGTCATTTACTTTCTGGTTTTTATTATTCTTGAGAGAATGCGCAAGGAGAATAAAAAGTGTCATGAAAAACTAACACCAATGGCTACTCGCCAGAATCCCTTCTAGTGAGCTTCGCAGCTGCACTAACCAAACTCTTTCTTTTCTCCATTTCAAAATAGAGTATTTTGCGTCTTTCTCATATTCATCTAACTATTCTGATTTTTTTTGTGACAGCTTCATATCAAAAGATGAGTTTTCTTCTAAGCAATTCTGAGCAAGGATTTTCATAAATTAAGGATCATTCCAAACCAACCATTATTTTCACTATTTCAAAGTTCTTTTTGTGTACCATGACAAATTAAATGGAAAACATTATGAACATATTTCTGAAAAAAAGCCCCATGCAGTAATTCCACTAGAAATACAGTAAGTGTATATTAATTTATAGCAATTCTTAGGTCTCCATAGTATAGCAAAACTAGTATAATTTGTTGCATATAATATAATTAAATCTACTAAGGATTATTTCCACTTTGAGAATAATCTAAGCCTTTTTCAAGAAGGATGGGCATATCAAATACAGCTAATGGTGTATTAACAGTTTACACATTATGTCTTTCATGTGGGAATCACAAAGTACTTGACAAAGATTATCTTTCACTATATAAAATAGCAAGAATCATTATTCAACATTCTGTGCACCAGAAAAGTTGAAACACACTCTGAAAAAGAGATTAACCAACTATTCTAGCATCACATGTCAAGTAGCTAAACTAGGAAAAGAACCTAAAGGTTCTGGCACCCAACTCCCTGTTGAAGGCACTAGCCTATATTACATCCAGTTACACAAAACAGCACTGACATCAGCAGAAGTACAGTTTATCCCCTCTAGAATTTTAGAATGTCAGTCTCCATAACACTCTCAGTGTTTTTTGTTACAACACAGCAAGTATTAGATTTAATTGATATTAATTGTAATTAGGAAATCTAAACATTTCAGTTTAAGTAAATCAATATGGGGTTTTTTTCTTACAGTATTTCCAACTTAGCATTGACTAGAAATGATGGGAAATTGTGCATACAAGAAAAACCTGAATATCTATGAGTTCCAGCCCTATTTTCAAGCCAGAAGTTTCAGAAAAGCATCTGAGCTTTGGATACTTGCTGTGAGCTGGCAGAAAGATAACAGACAGTTTCTTCTTACATTTGCTTAAACCAGCCACAACTGTTTTTTAAGCAAACAAAACTGAAAGCAGATGCTTAACGGATGCTCAGTATTATCATTTAACTCCTAATGTCAGAGAAGCAGCTGAATTTCCAGACACTGATCTAAACTGAACCCCTGAGCTTGACATTTGTCTAATGCTTATTCTAGTACCATAAATCAAGATGGATTTCTGTGTTGTTTTTACCTATCTCCAGTGTAGAATTTTAGAGGATTTCCATTCTAATGCCACAGAAAGTATCATCCACCAATTATAAAGATTCAAATCAATCAGGTGACTGAAGGAGAAATCAGGTCAATAATTATAGGATCTGACAACCTACTGACAACTCATTTCAGAAAAAGATAGATGAAACAGAAATGCAAAGGATGAAAAGTTGAATTAGATAAAATTAGATGTGTATGATTAGATACTATAAACCATAGTATTATAAAGCAAAAGGAGAACAAGAGAACACAGGAAAATGGTGGAAAAGTAATTCATGTGATTTTGCTCTTTCTAGAATACAAAAAACCTAAAACACTAAGAAATGTCCAACAAATATAATAATTTATATACAGAAGTCATTGTCCCAGGACACTGTGCAGGACGTATCGTCTCTTTTTAAAAAATATATAAATTTATATACATTATTCACAAACAAAAGGATAAAATTTTCTGTTACACTGACAAAGGTAAATATATCTCAATTTCCACATCGATAGGTATAAACAGGGCAAATGTTTGGATTAATATGTTTATCTACTTGAAATTATAATGCACCATTAAATTAAAATTTTCTATAAAGCAGAACTAATCTTCTTCCCACTCATCAGAAAGTAGAGCACCTCAGCTTTGCAGGAGAAACCAGGTAATGTCCTGTCTTCATTTTTTGGGACTGTGGTGATATGCATTTGCTATTCCTTCTGTGGTGATATGGATTTGCTATTCCTTCTGCTGGTTTTAGCTGAGGTGGAGTTAACTTCCTTCATAGCAGCTCGTATCACACTGTGTATTGGGTTTGTGACCAAAACAGTGTTGATAACACACTGATGTTTTAGCTATTGCTGAACAGCACTTTCACAGCATCTTCTCTGTTTCTAACACTGACTCCCAGAAAGTAGACTGGGGGTGCACAAGAAGTTGGGAGGAGCCACAAATAGGACAGCTGGCTGAATCGACCAAAGGAATAACCCATACCATATGACATTGTGCTCAGCAATAAATCTCGGGAAAGTTTAGAGGTGTGGTATTTGCCTTCCCAAGTAGTGTTTACACGTGATGAAGTCCTGCTATCCTGGAGATGGCTAAACACCTACCTACGTGATGGGAAATAATGAATGAATTCCTTATTCTGCTTTGCTTGTGCACGCAGCTTTTGCTTCCCTTATTACGTTGTCTTTATCTCAACCCATGAGTTTTCTCTCCTTCACCCTTCTGACCCTCTTTCCCACCCCATCGAGTGGGAGTGAGTGAGCACCTGTGTGCTGCTTAGCTGCCCACTGGATTAACCACAACAGTCCAAAGAGATCCAAATAGTAAAAATTACAGAACCTATGATACTATCGTGGAAGACACCATTTGGTCAGGGTCTTGGCAAGACCTGGGTAAAATTGAATTACGGTCCAGATCTACATCTGAGTCTATAATTTTGACTGCTCTGCTCTGATGCATTTCTGGCCAGTAGTGAGGAAAGAATACAAACTTCATTTCTGAGCTGCCCTAACAGGGTAATTCATACCGCACAACAAATCAATTAATCTCTACAAGATACCATTACACTGAACTGCTACAGTACTTTGGCAAGCAAGATCAAGAAACATGCTGGAGATCATAATGGCTCTGTAGAAATATAAATAGTACTATCTCAATCTTGATGTTATTGTTAAACTGTAAGTGAAAATTTCCAATTAAATAAGTTGGAAAGAAAATACAACTGTACTGCAGTGACATAAAGATTTCCATTATAATTTTTTTGTTTTACAAGTCTGTGGCAAGAAATTTGCAGCTTTAATAATGTCCAAGTACACTTGCAAAGAAAAAATATATCAAATAAATATTCCCATTGAGCTCCATAGCCTGGGAAAAGGGTGATTTAACAAGAACTGCTACTTTAAAAACATCCTGTTTTCACTTATCAAAGTATTTAATAAGATAGCCTCATGGAATAAAGTTATTAAAAAGATATCAGGGCAATATTTATAAAAAGGATTAAGCTAATTCATAAATTATTACAACAATCTGAATGATAACTAAAAGTAAGTAGACATTCTGCCTGGATTAGTAGATTCAGGTAGTTCACTTGTCAGTTGTTAAACTGTTCAGGATTTCTGTGAGAAATAGTAGCTCTTTGGTCATATTTAATTCATAATAATTTTTAATGCACTCATCAGAAATGCAGCACTTACTCTGTTTACCCAAATAGTCTGTACCCCTACAGTCTGGGAGTAGGGAATGGGGGCATCTATTCCCTTATCTGTTTTGCCCAGCTCCAGAGACAATGGTGCTGGCAGAAGCAGGTGACTGGGAACACATAGTCTGGGAAACAGAAGAAAGCAGTACTGTTGTTTTCAAAACCAGCAACCTGTGTTTACATTGTCTTGAACTGATGATTAAATTGTACCTTAGATCACATCCACACTGTCTTCAGACTCTACCCTGGTAAATCACTTCCTTACACCTATTTCTGTCTCACACAAGACAAAATCTTTAAATCTGAATCAGTCAGTTCGTAAGTCCACACTATTGATAAAAGATGTCATTACTTCATGTCTATATGTGATCTTTCTCTAGAAGGGTATTTTTCATTCTAGTCTTTTATAAACGTGAAGCTTTATATTCCCTCTGATCTGATCTATGATGAATATCTTTTTTGCCTACAAATAATTAAAAAGAACAAAGCAGAAAATAATCAATAGGAAATGGGTGAGATCAAGGGAACAATTACCTTTGACAAGCAATGTCCACAATCCGTGTAACATATCTATTCTTAACATACATTAGGCACATTAGTAACATAACTCATAACAGTTAGTAGGAATTTTCAGGGGCAACAGATATTTAATGCAGGTTACATTATGTATGTACACTATTTGCCAACAATATCTTTTTCAAATATGATTACCTTTCTGGAAGAATTCCTCTAATTTCTCCTTGAAGGGCTGGAGATGCTCTTCAGAAGACTCTCTGCAAACTAACTTCATCTGCTTTTCAGAGGCTACAAAAAGAGGTTGAGACACATTCATTGCAGAATTTGTCTACCAGAAGTAGATGTCAACACTGTAGAAGACTACATCTAAATTAATCACCTGGACTTACTTTAGTTGAAATGGAAATAAACAAGCACTAAGGAATCCAGCAATTATATTAAAACAAAAAATCCCAATACCAGTGTAGCATACCAAATAGAAAATTCTATATGTGCTTAAAGAGTGGAATTTTTCTTTAGTAATGACTTTGTCCTAAAACTCCACTTGTGTGCTGAGACTTGCCACTAACACAGACTGTCTCACACACAAATTCTAGATGGTATTTAAAATTCTAAAATTCTTTCTGTGGTGAGTGGAGGATGCCTTCTATCTGGACTGATTTTAATCAATCTATGCCAGGCATCCTATACTCAACCATTTTTCCTAAGACAAATGCAGGAATTCAGCTTTACTTCAGTATTCAAATTCCAGGCCATGATATGAAATAGTAGAAGTCTGTAAGAAAGTTAACTTACACCTAACTGCAATTTTTTTACTATTTAATCTATCTGGTATTTTGAGACCTGATGCCATGCCAGTTTCTAAAAACTCCAAGTTATTCACCAATGAATTTTAACATTCCTATAACTTCTAGTAAGCTTCGTAGATTCCAGTGTTCCACATTAAAGATGAAATAAGACTGTTAGAAATCAAAATGCAATTACCTTCCATTTAGCAACTGAATTTATGAACTACTATAAGATTTTTTTTTTTTCCACAACACTTCATTTCCAAGAAGCTAAATCTAGATGGAAATTTATTTTGGAGTTAAACACAAGAGTTATAGTTTGGCTGCATGAAACATATTCACACCATATTGCTACCACCATTATATAATTCAACTTACTACAGCAAAAATTAATGCAAAACTGTGGAAGCAAGTTGAGAATATGTAATTAAAATGTCATGTTAATGTAAATTTGCAGTGCAGTGAAAAAAGTCATTGGAAGGTTGAAAACAGATGCATACATTTTATTGTACAACCAGTAGTGTGCCTATTTGAGCACCAGGACTTACTAAAAAGACAGCATTTGAGTTAATCGGGATCAGAAATATATTTGGACAGTTGATACAGAAAAATGCTGAAAAGATAATTGTTACCAACAAAGTTTATATTTTAATTTAGCATCCCTCTACAACTCAAGTAGATTGGGGACTATGACATTAGTGGGGAGCTCCACAGCTTATGTAAAATGGCCTGGGTTACAGTCTAATTTTACCTTTTATCTCTAGTCTTGCAACCTGTAGCATAAGACAGGCCTTTGAAACTGTTCAGTCAATGGATACTTTTTGTATGCCAGACAGTAGGCAGAATGAAGTGTTAATTTAAACACAACAGATTGGGAAAGAAGGTCTTTTATTAGCTGCTCAGTTATATGTCTTTAATTAAATTAAACAAACCAAACCAGAAATCAGGGAAGTTTATATGATTTTTAAAGTTTATTTTCTTATAATACCTGCCTCTTACCATTAAAACTTGAACCTTCCATGACTGCTATCATACACTGAATGAAATTTATGTATAATTAACGTTTATGTTTGTTGAAGAAGAAGGAGATTTCTATAGCTAATCAAGCAAATTGTAACCCCTTATTTTGGAAGAAGATGGATGCAGTAAAATTGTACAGGGGGAAAAATCTAGCAAAATAACTGAGCCGGTATTTTTATATTTCTGACTGGAAGTCTTAACAAAGCAGCAGCAACAGGTTTGTGTTTTTCCTTTGTGTTTAAAAAAAAATCTACAGAAAATTATATAATGTAAATTTAGAAATTATTTTAGATAAATATAAAATCACAAAAGTTTAAAAGTATTCATACGCATATTACATTCAGGCATTTAGTACAGTGACTATAGAATGTCCACAATTACTACAATCATCTAAGGTTGCAAGGATTGCAAGCCAATAATTATTTTATAATAATCTTATACAAATAAATTTGTACAAGTCTATACAGAAGTAGATTTATATAAATATGTATTACAGTAATATGTTTGTAGCTACAGTAGTATCTAAACATACTCTAGAAAGGTGTTTTCCCAATCATATGGTGTTGCTACTGCATTGTCTGGAGTATTGAAAGCTTCCTAGATGCTTCCTACAAGCTTTAATAACACAAGACTTAGAAAGGTTATGTCCCATGTAAATGTTTAAATGACCAACACTAGGATGAATTGTTTCTAAACTAAAAAAAAAAACCCCACATATATAACTCCTTATTTTTTTCTTTTCTTTTTTTTTTTTTTTTTTTTTAAAAAAAAACACACAATGTCCCATGTAAATGTTTAAATGACCAACACTAGGATGAATTGTTTCTAAACTAAAAAAAAAAACCCCACATATATAACTCCTTATTTTTTTCTTTTCTTTTTTTTTTTTTTTTTTTTAAATAAAGACAACTAACATTAACTTTAACCAGATGACAAAAGCTACAGGAAATTATATACATGAAGAAGTACCAGTGTATAGAGAAAAAGCTGATTTGAGTAGTGAATTCTTAAGAAGAATCCTAACATGCTTAACAAGTAGGCTGATATTTGGCATGAAGGGAGAGGAAGAACAAGAAAAAACACACAGAAGAGCAAATGGACCGGATAACATAAGTGAATCAGCGGTGCTGATTAAAACCCTAAAATTTTGATACGAGATGAAATGATGAGATACCAGTTTGTATTGCTTAAGTCATCTTGAAGCAATGAAACTGAAAGAGACAAAAAAAGGCAAGTAAATGCTGCCAGACTCTAAGAATTTATGTTATTGGAAAGCCTTAAAAAGAGACCTTTGGACGATTCTCTCTGCTGATTATATTTATCTAGATGATATCTATTTAAAACTAAAATCTATCAGTTTACTTCCTAAAGATCTTTCAGATAACTGCCAAAATAGACTGAAGGGATCTGATAAAGTTTTAGCTTTGAGCTAAAGGAATTAAGGACAAGGGTGATGAAGTGAAAATCTGTTAATCACCAAAGCAATTTATTTGCCCTATACTGCTTAATCCTCCTTTATCTGACTCTGAATTTAGGTTATACTTCACTCAATAACCTATACTTTTGGTCTGCAAGCAAGTATCTGTGGGCAAATGAAGGTTAAATAGTTCTGTTTAAAGTCAACTGCACTGAAATATTTAAATAAAACTTGAATTTATTTACTTGATAACATTAAAAATTAGAAACATCACATAGGTATGGAGTCACTGGCTGAAGGTTGTTATGAACTTCAGCTGAACTGCAGTCTCAAAAATTCTGTATTCCTGCTGAAATCTCTCCAGTCTCAGTCTTCCCTGCAATCATGAATTGTCCTATGCAGAATAATGATTCCTTCTCCAATACCTGTAAGAAAATGATGGCCAGGACCACAAACCAGATGTATCTTTTAGACTGAAGAACTTTAGAACACCATCAAATTTGCCTGGGGATAGATATGGCAAAGAATGGTGGAAGTGTGTTCAAAGGAATCACAAATCAGACAAAAATAAAGACACACTTGGAAAAGGAAAAATATTTTCATTACAGGGCTAAATCAAAGGTTTTGCTTCAAATGGCAGTTGTAATTCTACATGTTAAAGTCAGTTGGTCTTTGTCAACCTAGATTTGTAACATTGGTGAAAGGCTACCATATAAGTCTATCACCTGCCTCAGTTCTACACAACATAATATAAATTAATGTTAATTAATTAATGTTGATTGAATTCCCTGTTCTATAAGGTTCAATTTTTTTGTTTACTCAAAAAATTTGCTTGAAATATATAGTCTAAAAAAAAATAAATTACCAACTCATGCCAAACATTATACTAAAATTAAATAACTAAAACCGAAAAGTTCTGTTCTATCAGAACTATTTTGTTTGCTAAAAATGCTGTGATGTGAGAGAACATTATGTGATTTTTAAATATTCTGTTCCCATATTCACTACAATAGAAACCCTTTCCTTTTTAAAATAGAATTATTTTGACGAGGTTTTTATTAGAATGATTCTGAGAATCTTATTATTGATTCCTTCTTTGAAACAAGTTCTGAAAAGCTTCTTTCTGAAAAAAAAAAATAAAAATCTTTCTGAAATTCTGAAGTATCTAAAGGAATTCGGAGGAACCTGACAGCTACCACAGCACATGCACACTTCTCCTCTTGCCATCTCACTCCAAAATACTCCTTTGACAGAATAAACAACCTGTTTCAGCATTACTGAGGTCAAACAGATGCAAATTCTTCATTACTGTAATAAACTTTTGGTTCATTTTCTTGGTATGTATTGTACGTTAGTGAAATTAAATGTAATATACTACTTTGAAAATTGTTTATTTCTAAATGAGCTATTGCAAAAAAAGAAAATATGAGTATGCAATACTATTTGAAAGCCTTTAAAAATTGTTGGATGTACATCATACTTCACCCACTGCAAATCTTGGCCATAGAAATGGAAACCATTAGCAAAACATTAAAACAAAGCTGGAAACTGCTGATTATCAGTTTGCCACTGTCTTCGGATTTAATGCAGTACTTGGCTCAAAAAGTTCTTCAAAAATCCCCAATATAAGTGAAAATATTTACAAAATAGAATGTCTCTCACTTAATGCCTATTGGGCAATAGTCTTTTAAAACTCCACAGACACTTGTAAATCTGTCAAAAGAACCACTGCTCATAAACAAACTTTCACGTAAAGAGCATTTCAGTGTCAATCAGACCGGATTTGGAATTTTTTAAGCACCATTTTTAAAGTAAACGCAAAACCAGAAATAGTTTAATGTTGATAACAGTAAATTACTAACTATTTACTCACCAGAACCCACCAGTAGCATTTACAGGAATCATCCTGACAATGAAACCAAGTATCAACACCATGAATTCCTATAAACCTGTCACTGACACTATCCCCCATGAGTTATGACACTGTGAAAGCTGTTAAACATCCCCCTCCCCGGTCTGTTCAGAGCCTGGCAGGTTACACTGCCAAGCTTGCTATCTTATTT